TTTTTTTTTTTTTTTCAAAAAACTGCAACGTACCAAAGATATTAAAGGTTAAACTTTTCAAAGTTGCTGTTTCATTAAATTTATTGCATAATAAAAATCTTTTTTTTAACATAGAAAACCAATATTTAGACATATAAAATTTTAGTTTAAACTATACTCTTAACTTACTGTTTTTTTCCTCTTTATATTTTTTAAATGTTCAAAAATTGTCTTGTTTGAAGTTTTCTTAATTGTCTAAACAAACTGCTGATAATCACACCGCAAAAAATAAACATTTAAGCAGAAAAACAATTTTTTTTTTGTTTTTTACTTGTTTAATAGATGTTATTCCATGTATCTGCTTAACTGACTAAAAAAATTAAACTGATTTATATCTGTGAAAAAAAAAATTTGTTTTTATTTCTGTTTGAAAGAAAATCTTTAATATTCTAGTTTTTCGGTTTTCAACTTTACTATCTTTCTGTTAGCAGAAAGACAGTAAACAAGTGTAAGTAATATAGTAAAAATTTTGTAAATTTAACTGATAACTGTAAACTATAAGACTGTTAAATTATTTAGACCAATATCGGCAATTTGTTAAGTTAATCACAAAAGTTTCTCATTTACTTAGGGTTTATCAACTGAATTCTCAAGCTTTTTGTAGAAAATTCAGATGCAGGACTCTTGTTGGCCGAACTTCATTTAACGCATTGACTGAATCTCCAATTTTCCCACTCCGATTCTGATTATTTTATTAACACTTACTTCAATAGTAATATCCGGTCTTCTTAATGGTATTTTTTCTAGGAACAGCGTTAGTTTTTAAAAAAAAGCAAAAAATTTAAAAAAAAACAAGTAGAAGAAACATAAAGTTGGATTCGAAGTTCCTTCTATACGATACAGTAGCTGAAATTAATGTACTACGGCAAGCTTCTCGTAGAATTACTGACTGTTGCTCTACTACTATTACCTACATCAGTTTATTCTGAACAGCTCAAGTCGTCTACAAAATCGACTTCAAAAAATCGGTCAGAGTTTTCAAGAAATCTAAAAATTTTGAAGCAAGTGAGCTTTGTGAAGCTTCCAAAATCACTCAATAAATCTTCATCTATCCGGCGAAAGCATCCGTTAGAAGAATTTATTGCCAGTGATGGTTTGCTGTACGATTTCACTCGGAAGACTTTGTCAAGACTTCGCCGATCGAAAAGAGAATCTGAGTCAATGAAGAGAATTGCGCACTTCAACAACGAGTACCACCCAAGGTCTCCTTTTCTCTACAAGTTTCATGATAGATTGCCGATACAACCGAGCGCTCATAGGTTACGAAGGCAGCGGCATATCAACAAGTTGCTTAGCGACGAACTTCAAGGTTCTCCAGAAGTTAAGAAAAATATTGTAGACGATGTAAGCAGCGAAAAAGTCGTTGAAGATGATGACAGTGAGGAGCCACAAGCAGTAGAATATGTTAGTGATGGTTCTCGAGAGGAAACTTCGAACGATATTGAAGTTGCCGAACCTGATCAACGAAAACAACCGAGGATGTATTCGTCAGTCGAAGACATTTTTAAACACATTCCAGAAATACCACCTTTATCCTCTGAATCAAGTGATAACGATAAAAGCGACGATTACGTTTACGATAACAAACGAGACCTAAGTGAAGATGAACTTAAAAAAAGTCGTCTCTCTTCAAGTATCTCATCAAATCATTTAAATGGTAATAATGCTGAAAAATCAGAAGAAGGTTCTAAGCCACAATCTTTGCCGGCAGAAAAAGCAGCGACACAAACAGTTTCCGGTAGTGAAAAAACATCTAAAAAAGATTCAAATACTGAGGCAGCGGCAGGTGACGATGAAGATTCATCTTCATTGTCAGTGCCAGTTCAAGAAGATATTCAAGAACAAGAGATACCTTCTGGTTATATGGTTAGTAAATAACTTTGTTACTTTTTTTTTACTAAACATAAAGTTTTAGGGAACTTTGCTAGAACTAAAAATTTCGGATGATCCTAACGATGCAGCAAATATTTGCGACGATGAAAGCGTAAGTTTGTTCTCTGACGACAGTCTCAAATCAGTGACTGTAAAAAGTCAAAAAACTGCACAGGAATGTCATCTAGAAGTGTTAAAAATAATTAAGACAATAAAAGTAGAATAAATAATTTGAAACGAAAAAAAACCTATATTCTTTAATGTTCTAGTAGTTTTATGAACACCTAAGTTTGCAAAAAAAAAAAACGAATAATGAGGAAGTTTATGAATGTAAACTGAATATGTGTGATGATAATAACTCAAAAAAAAAGTTGTTTTCTACAGTGGAGCCGTAAAAAAGCAAGACTGAGAAAGGTTTGAATCTTATTTGCTGCTTTTTGTAGTATGATTTTTTGTTTTTTTTTTTGTTTTTTTTTTTTACAAATTCTTCTTCTGACTCGGTCGCTGTTTAAGAATTTCAAATAACTGTAATATTATTATAAAAGTAAGTGCTAAGTGGCAAAAAAATTTAAGAAGTTTTACAGATTTAATGTTACAAAAAACGAGAGTAATTTTTTGATCAGTTTTATAAAGACATTGTAATTTTGTTGTAGTTTATAATGAGTAGTGCTTATAAAATCTAAATTATTTCTGATTAGCTGCATGAAAACCGATGTCAGAAGGAATGCTTAAAGTCAGTGGCGATAGTTTGTGAACAGTTACGACATGCTAAAATTGGCTTTTATTGTGCTTAGTTTAGAAGTGTTGATGTTCTCTAAATTTTTTTCACTTTTTTTGTTCGCACAGAGCTTATTGGGTTGTTTCACCTGTCAACTATCAATTTTTTTAAAACTTTATCGAATGAATCATTATACAGTTGCTATACAGTTTCTATAGTATTCTTATTATTTATTATGTTTAGTTACTTTCGCTTCTTCGTTTTTTTTTTTTTTTAGTTGGTTTTTGTCACTTGTCAAAAATACATTTGGCCTGGTTTTCAAACAATGAATGTTTTGCATGATAAAAAGAGAAAAAAAAAAACAACGAAAAAAATTGGGGCTTAATTTGTATATGTAACTGTTACGAAACAGTATTGTTGAATAATTGCTAAAAAAATTTGTAGCTGAAAGTTCAAGAATGATCTAAATCAACAATTTTTGACTCACTCATGCAAAGTTTATAAATCTTTTCCTTTTGGTTAAAAATTGCTCTCAAGGTTTTTGCTGTGAAAAAAATTACTGAAGAAGATACGTTGTACTATTATCATTAAATGAATTAAATTTAATTTTTATGAGAATGATAATTGACAGATGTTTGCTTTTTTCTTTACAGTGTTTTGAGCTCAAAAGTTTTAGTATTTGTTGATCACTGCTGAATGATAGTGGCTGCTAAAAAATATGCTTTTCTTTTCATACTTTATTTAGTTTATGTTAACAGCAAAAATTTAGCTACTGTATAGTGATATACCCAATTTTGCAGGAAGGAAGCGGTCTTGGAGATGCAATTAGTGACAGTGAAGCAGTTCGTAAGTGTTATTTTATTAAAACTTTCAAAGTTTTTTTGGCTCAAAATTAGTGTAATGGTAAATGGCTAAAAATGAATTAATGTTTATCAATCCTGCTGCATTACTGCCTCAAATTTCCTACTGACTGCTCACTTTTAGCTGCTCCATACCGAGGAAAAGAAACAGCAGCTGCTGACGTTACCAGTAAACATCCAGATTCCGGAGGTTAATTTTTAAAGTCTAATGCTTAAACAGTTAAGACGGGGGAAGTTTTTGGTGCTCAAAAACTATCTTCCATCAGCAACTTTTTTTTCGACGCTTTCTTAAAATGAACATTGTACAACCAAGAAAAAAGATTTTATTGTTCTATTGAAATTTTAATGACATTAAATAATTGAAAAACTTTAAAGACTTTTTTATTTGTCCAAAAAAAAAGTTTTGAATGCTTCTCATGTTGTTGGAAGAAATAGTTTGAAAACGTCTCTTTAGTAATTCTATAAAATAGTAAAAAAAATAGAGCAGTACTACTTGGAATAAGAATCAGTTTTAATGAACCTGTTTCCGAAACCATTTTCCTAGAAACAATAAAAAATTCAGAGATAATTCTGTATTTTAAATTTGTTAAAATACTTAATTATCGAGCTCTTAATTCGTATATTGACAAACTGTTATGACACTCACAATAACTTTCGGAATCTTCAAAACTGTATCAGATGGGTTGGCTTAAGCATTGTAAGTTGCCTGAAAATTGCAAACTTATTAAACCTTGACACTAGTTTTTAATATTTGATCATTTGCTAGAAGCTTTACTGGCAAGAAAAATTCTATTTTAAGACTATGAGCACTTTTATGAAATAGCACTTGCTTGAAATTTTTACATCGCCGTAACTGCGAAATTTAGAGTAAAATATATGGCTGTTCATCTTCTAAACATCTACTTTTTAGTTAAAGACTTGATGGCAGTAAAAAACAGATCGATTATTAAGAGTATTTGAGATTTTAAAACAAGATTGTGGTTTGAAGACCCGTAATATTGCTTCAGAAGTAATTCATTTCTAAAACTTAAGTTAATAAGAAAAAGTCGTATTTTTGCAGATTTGCAAAGATATAACTCGCCGAAAACAACTAGAACAAAAAATTATAATTTCAAAGCATTTTTGACTGACAGTTTATTAGTAGAAAAGCTTTAAATTATGCCACAGTTATAAGATTGTATCTTCTGTTCTAACCTTTATTGGTAACCAATAATTAAGGTTTTAAATAACTAAAAAACAATTTAAATCTTTATTTGAGGTCTGTCACTGTTAACTGACAAACGGTGAAAAATTAGAACAGAAACTGATGATGGAAGTACCGGTGTTTTACCTCAACATAAAGACCAATGTTAGAGTGTGAATTTCGGTAGCCGCATAATAAACAGCACTGATAACTTAATGCTAATTTTTTTTCCTAAAATTTATTGGCTTAAAAAAATAAAAATGGCAAAGTGCGTAACTGGAAAAAAGATTATTCTACCATTATTTTTGCTTCTTTTTTCTCACAAATCTGTTAAAAACGACAAAAAAAAAAAAAAAGAAAACAATTGATTAGATTTTGATACGCCTCCTTCATTAGAGGTTTCAGACGCGGTGTTACAGACATTGCGTACACGGAAAACAAAGATAGCTTGATATTGCCCTTTTATCGTATGCAATTACAATCTGATTCACATCGAATGTTTCGATCCAATAGCATGCCTACGAGGCACGGGAAGACCAACGGTTTAATTTTTTGTAGGAGTAATGCCATAGCCAACCAGAATTTTTTAACTGGTCATCATACACAAAAGCATGAGCTTTTTTCTCTCTTTTTTCTTTTGCTTGCTCTGTGTTTTTGGCTTGTTGATGTTTAGTCATGCTTTACTGGCTTCTGTTTTCATTAGAAACACCGTAGACAAACTTCTAGAAATTTTCTTTGTTTTGTTCGTCGGTGAAGGAGTAGATAGTTTTTTAGAATGTCACCAACTTTTGTAGGTGCTCACATATTTAGCTACAATACAGTACCTTCTGCATGCAGAAACGTTGACGGTTCTATGATCTACTTCTGCGCTTTGCTTTTATAATTAAAAATTCTGTTCTCTTTCTATTTTTTAATATTTCCTAAAAAAAAAAAGATAAAAACTACTTTTTACAAACTACTGTGCAAATAATTTATTTACGTTATTTTGTTACGTAGTAACAGGATATAATTATAACCAAAATTTCCACATCATTTTGCAAACAAAGTACGCCTAAATCAAAAAACAAATCTTTTCTTGTGGTATTCACTTGCCATTACTGCTTAACTCTCATTTCTTCTTTGAAAACACTAAAACGAAAACACTAAAACGATTACTTATTTTTTATTTCAGCTTGCTGACCAACTACAGTGTTTTATGCCAATTTTAAAATTAATTTAGGAACTGTAAATGTGCCTTAATACTGCAGGAAATAAATGAAATAATGCCTTATATTGCTGCATGAAAGACAGCTTCAAATGTGAAGTGTACAAGCGAAATTGCTTGGAACAAAAAAATCATAGAAAAACATGCGCTATACATTTCAAAAAGCACAAAATTTTTGAATTATGTGGTAAGGACTTTTAGTGAAACACAATGAAGCAGACGAAAACCGCAAGCAAAAACTATTAGCTCTCTTAGAAAAACCCTAGCATCTCAAACACTTTGTAGACGTTTACAGTGTTTTCTAAATTTCTGCAACACTTACTTTCATTCCTGTCGACCTTTTGAAGTTTTTAGCATAACTGTATAGACCACAACAAGATTGTCAGCTGAATTATCAAATTTGATCTTCACTAAAATTAAGTTCTGTTAAAGTTTTTTTTAAGAATAGAAATGATAACTAACTCTCAGAAAAAATTGGCTAATGGAAGAATCGCAGTTTTGAATGGCAGAACACGTAGAACAGTGCCATTATTGTCAACGCGTCATATATCTGCTCGCTTCAATGCACTAAAAACAATAAAATGAAAAAACAAAAACCTTTGTTTTTTTTTTTTTTAATGGGTTAATAAGTTCAGAGATCTATCTACATTCCACAGCCTCAACAACTTCTGTTTATACGGAGGAAATCTAAAAGTTTCTCATTCTGCGAGTTTCTTTGGGGGTAATTTCGTCAGAAAAAAATAAGTGCCTGATTTGTCGTAGATCCCCCAGTTTTTCAAATTTTTCGCATGCGTTGATTGTGTTTTTGTATGTCTAAAGGTTTATGCTTCTAGCTAAGCAGTTTAACATCTAATTCTCCATCAAATTCTCCACGATCCATTTGCGTGAAAAGATCTCTTGAAAATAATTAAACGCTTTCAGATTAGAGCGACAGAAAATAAACTTTGCTGTTTCTTTTTTTCTTCAATTGTAAGAAACGAATATTATTTATTTCAGTGGTATATCTTCGAGGTGAAAAGGGAGAGAAAGGCGACAAAGGCGAAAAAGGAGAACGTGGCCCTCCAGGAGTGGTAATCATTCAATTGATGCATGTTTTTTCATTGCGAAAAATACGTAAATTTCACAAAATAGCTTCTGTATTTAGCTAGCCAGTAAAGTATTTTAGTGCTCCGTCAAATGTGTTGATGGAAGAGATGGTCCAACAGGACCAGCGGGAGAGAGGGGACCTCCAGGTCCAAGAGGTCCAGCAGGTCCAGAAGGTCCACCAGGTCCACGAGGACCGCCAGGAGAAGTTGTTTACGCAAGTAACGGAAAGAAAATAGCTGAAATTGTAGGGCCAACAGGACCTGCGGGACCACGGGGTTTTACGGGTCCTCCAGGACCGGAAGGACCACGTGGTCCTCAAGGAGAGCAAGGTTCATTTACTGACTTAAAAACAGCTTCATGTTCGTACGTTTTTCTTCATAGTTAAAAGTACGTCTCTGTTTAGGTCCACCCGGCGACCGAGGTGAGGCAGGAAGATGTGTGGTAGACGATGATTTGGTCACAGAAATTCTTTCCCATCGAATTGCAAGAGTAGGTTTTTGAAGCATTTGTCAACGCCGTGATATTAGTATTCAAGAATCAAATTAATATACAAATTTAGGAGTGGAACTGTAATTGCCCCCAGAGTGAAGCGCAAAGGAGACAATACCATGAAGAAAACGATGGTAATTTTTACAGATATTATTAATCATTTAAAAAAACAAATTAGTGAGAAAGACTATCATTGTAGAGATCAGTGTTTCAAGTTAGCAATTAATTGTTGAATAATTATTCTTTATCGTGGTGGAAATGAGATATCTTATTTCTGTAGTAATGCGGAAGTTTACAGAAATTCCTCCTTCAAAGCCAGTGAGAGTTCACACAGTGGGTGGTCCACCAGGGCCACGAGGACCTCGGGGTTATCCTGGAAAGACAGGTCCTGTTGGCCCTCAAGGACCACAGGGTATGGCAGGACCCCCAGGACCACAGGGTCCTATGGGCCCACCTGGGCCCAAGGGACCTATGGGACCTCCAGGATTTTGCGAGCACAGACATGAAGGATCAGGATCAGGACAACAAGCTGCTGGGGGGGTTTGTTTTATGCCTTTTTTTGCTGCTGATTTATTGCTAGCTATAATAAGCTTTGTTCCTTTTGCTGTATCTCTCAACGGTTTTCAGATTACCTTATCTAAACTTTCTTTGTAAATCTTTGTAGTCTAGCAAAATAAAAAGGAGAATAAATATACAGCACAAAGCAAAAATATGCCAATGTGGTCACTTTTAAGGGCGAAAGTACCGTCAAAAAAAACTTATTCTTCTATAATTATAGGTGCAAGTATATCAGACCTCTGTTGAATTATTTTCTTCATCTACCAATGTCAACATTGGAACATTGGCATTCTGCATTTCAAGTCAACAATTGTTTATTCGCGTCAATGGTGGTTGGAAGAACGTTAAAGTAGTCATTAAATGTTGATTATGAAAGTAATAAAAATAGAAAGTGAAAAATTACATAGGTTTTGCATTATTTAACGCACTGACAGCAATGTTTCTTAGTGGTCTGCTGGCATTTTTAAGTGTGGTGTCTAAGGCACACTTAATTGGGGTGTCTTGAGTACAATTTTTACAGTCGTTAGAAATAATTTTAAGCTGATATACTGTTTTATTTCCGCTAAAAAATAAGCAGTTTTTCTTATTAAATGGCATTTCTTTAACAACAATATGTTTTTAAATTTTTTGGTCATTCTTTTTCATTCAGGTCTTTTTTCAATATTTAGATACTTT